ACGGCTGCACCAGCAGATCCCACAACTGAATCCTGGGGGAAGGAGCTGAGGATGGGGCCGGGTAAGGTGACGACGACTGGAGGAGGCTGGATCACAGTGGTGGAGTCAGGGCACTGGCGGACGCAGGGCTCGTTGCAGCTGTCAGCGAGGGGCTGGGGGCGGTAGACGCCGCAGGCAGAGGGGGAGCACAGGTCGTAGCAGGACATCTTGTAGGGATGGAGTTCAGTCTGTAAAACATGGTCGTTTATGTTAATATTAAATATCAAACACTAGGTAATGATGAAGGAGTTCAACAGAGTACCAGTAATAAACCTGGGAAGGAAATATTTTTATATTGCTATTCTTCCTAGCACTGTAATGTGGAGGCTATTTTTGGGTTTAGTATGGCAAAGTCACGTACTGTTTAGTTGCACTTTTGGTATTTCCAGACGATCTGATTTCAGTATTACTATTAGTTGATAGTTTCTATGTAATAAGTTTGATCTTTCATGTCATAAACTCAGCAGAACATGAATGCATCCATACACAACCATGTGTATGAACTATTCTTTGTCTCCGAAAATAGTCAAGGAATTCTTTGAAACACTAAAATGCTACAAGCTTGGGATTCAAAACTGCTTGATATACCCTTCTTCTGAAGTCTATCTTTACCCGGGCATGGTGACGAATGAGCAACCAAACACTGTTGCAGCAAATAATAAAAAGATCACTGGCAGCCTAGCAATAACTGAAGACTTGGTCCTAAGTTAAGATCAAGAGCTCCTAACACCAAGTTAAGTTTAGCAAAGTTTGAGAGAAATCTGACTTACCCAACTCACGAAGGCGATGAAGGTGAGAGAAGTGGATAGAAGGACTTGGTGGAGAGAGATTTTATACAGCTCCGACAATCGCCTGGGGGACGTTAGGCATCTCGTGTGTGAGTTAATAATTACATACCAACCCCAAATTGTAGGACACGTAGTTCCTCAAATTGCTGAAAATGGTTTTGCTTATTGTTTGTGCGTTGCAGGCACTTCAAACCCACGCATAGCGTGACATGCATACTCCATCACAGAGCTCTCTATCATCTCCAGGCTTTATGTGTGGAATTATTTTTTTATTATTCCATTGCTCTCTTTACAATTAGGGGAGGAAGTAAGCTGACTTGGCTTATTTAAGAGTCTTGCATAATTAGGGTGACAGGAGGACTGTAATTTCTTTTGTCCAGTTCCAGGTCTTTTAGTGTAATCAACCCAGAGACAAAATGAAATTTCTTTTAGCATCTCCAATGAAGGTTGGAGACAAATAACAAGGGTGAAAACATTCTTTTTGCAGGCTTAGCACTTCTGCCTCCAGCTACTCAATACAAGGCAAACACAATAACCAGGGACATCTTTTAATGGCTTTTGGACTGTTCTCTGCTGGTTGTCTTTCAGTCCCTGGAACTGAAATATTTCAGCTGGCAGTCACAAGTGTCTATGGAAACTGGTTTTTCTGAGTTGTTTCATCAAGCTTTGCTTTCCTTCATATTTTGTGTTTTCTTCTCCTCCTCCTGTTGTGTGTTGGAGATGTGTACCTAGTAACATAGGACTAAGAGAAGGAAATAAATCAGGTGATAAGACATGACCACTGAAAGGGATCCTAACCCTGACACAATGAAGATGGAGCCCATTGTACCCTGGGACTTTTTTTTGGCTAATAGTTTGGTTAACATAAGTAGATTTCTGCTGCTGGACCAATACACACCTTGATAAAAGATAAGGTGGATTTTGTTTTTAGAGTCAAAGAAAGGAAGTTCCAAGAAGTGTTACAAACCATTAAATGGTTACGGGAAAGACCCAAGTGACTCAACTTACCTATTTCAATATGATAATCTCTCATAATGTCAGGGCATATGCATCCAGGCATAGTTTTTGTATAATTATGACACAGTAGGTACAAGCTAGCAATGGGTGTTCATGAGGTACTTGAAAATACCTTGGAATGTTCTTGTAAAACTTTGAGATGGATCTTTTTACAGTCTTACAGCTCAGGAAATCTCCATATGTATCTCCAGATTTGGAAAAGCTCATAATTTAGAAATACTTTATGATCTGACAATAACCATGTTGATGATGGTGATAACCATGATAATGATATAGTATTACAATAATGGCATAAACAAAGAAAGAAACCTCAGCAAGAAACAGCATCTGCTTTTCCCAGTGGATTTCCACCTCATAATTGCTCTCTACTGAAAGATGCCATCAATGATGGGGTTAGCTGCAAGATCAGTTGCAGACCAGGATCAAGGACTCCTGAGGAGCAAGCTAGAAATTAAAGGAAACTTCAGGAAAATGTACCCTCTCAAACTTCTGGATTAAACTGGGTTGGAAGTTTTGAGTATCCCTGACTGCTTGTGATTTCAGATATTCACTGGTAAATCTAACCACTTCTGATGTCACTTTGACACTTTAGACACTTTGATGTCTAAAAGTTCGCTTTTATCTATTCGATATGCAAGTGAAATAAGATAAAACTTAAGGCTGTTTTGGACATCTGCCGTTGTGTGTTCAGGAATGCTCATAATGTAATTTGATTCTGAGAGTATTGAGAAACCTCCATGGATTCCAATATGAATTGTATCCCATCTGAGAAAAAAACCTATGCACACAAAAAAATATTGCTTGCCTTCCTGAGTATTTAATTATATTATTTTATCTTTAAGAAGGGAGAAAACTTATGTAAGGGACTTTGAAAGAAATGCCTCACAGCAGGTTACTTCTGATAAATGTCTGAGCATCATCGTCATCATACAAGACAGCAAAAGAAGAATATTTATGTATAAGCAGCTTACTACATAGTGCAACTCAAAAAAGGATGGAAGAGTGATATTAATTTCATGAATCATGTTTTAGGATGAAAGATGCGTTAATGTCACCCATCACTCTTTTAGATGAAAGAACCTTGTGTGATGTAATGCGTGTGTTACGCTACATGATAATTGAAATCCAGTAATAAACAAAAACAGAAAGCAGAACAATTTCATCACTTTGTAGAGCTATCAATACAAAAATGTGGTGTGTCAACTAATTACATCCACATTCACGAAACCAGCCTCTCAACCCTCGGGCAGTCTGAGCTATATAAAAGCTCTCTCCACTCAGGGTTCTCTCAACCTCTTCTCTTCACTTGTTTCTTCTCAGTGAATCGGGTAAGTCTGAATCTCTTCTTTACAACTATTGAACTAGCTCTTTGCTATACAATTTAATTTAGGATGGTTTCTTCCATTAAGAACTAGTGGGTAAAATTTTAAGTGAAAAGATAAAGGCTAAAGAAATTATTAAAAGTGTTGTGGACAGCAGTTCTCTGCATTCAGGGTTGGCATTTGATTTCAAAGCAAACCGAAAGTTTCCTGATATGCTAGAAAAGTATTAGTTTACTTCCAACAGATGAAGAAATTATGCGACTAGTTCACACATTTGTCTTCTCTTTTTGTTTATATGGGTAACTGGAAATAATTTGAAAAAAGATAGGTCTTCATGGTTCACAGGGAAATGCTGAGCTTAGAAGATGACTTTCCATTATCTCCAGTTTATTCCATTACAGATCACTCAAGGTGGTTTTACATTAGTTTGAGATAAATGGGAATGAATACTACCAGAAATCAGGCACTGGCTTAGAGTAAGGACACGAAGAGGAATTGAGAGCTGTTGAAAATTCACTGTAAGAAATTCATTTAATTAGGAGACAGAGGGGTCATGGAGGGGATTTATCATGTTGACAAGAGCAGTGCTGGGTTTTTCCTGTTAATGGGGGCAAGTTGTTTGGGGTGAGATATTTTTCAAAAGAGTTCGCAGCCCAGAATCAAAACACTGTTTTTAAGCTAGTCGTAAATATCTCAGTGTCCTGATTCAACATTTGGAAATTGGGGACAATCATCTTTGCAATTCCCTTGTAATGGTCTCATCAAAGAAGCTACTGAGCAAATCTAAATAGACAATTACTTATAATCCCTGTTCTTGCAAGGCTCAGCACAAAGGAGATGAGTGGAAATGAAGAGTTAGAGTCATGAAATCACGTATAACAACACACTCCATTCTTGGGGAGTTCCAGTCCTTGCTGATCCACTGACTCACCAAAGCATCTGAGCAAATAATTTTGTGGTTCTACTTCATTTTTAATTTTTAATAGACTTGGGGAAATTTATGTACTTCAAAGCACTCTTGTCTGAGGAAAGGCAGTGAACTCTATAGCACTTTTATGTATGCAAATAATGTATTGGGTAAAATCAACTCTGTTTTGTAGATTGACCTACATCCCTACAAGATGTCTTGCTATGACCTGTGCTCTCCCTCTCCCTGCGGCGTCTACCGCCCCCAGCCCATTGCTGACAGCTGAAACGAGCCCTGCGTCCGCCAGTGCCCCCACCGGCCCCTGCCTCCGCCAGTGCCCTGACTCCACGGTTGTGATCCAGCCACCTCCAGCTGTTGTCACCTTACCTGGCCCCATCCTCAGCTCCTTCCCCCAGGATTCAGTTGTGGGATCCTCTGGAGCACCTGTCTTTGGGGGTTCTCTTGGCTATGGGGGTTATGGCTCCCTGGGCTACGGCTCCTCCCTGGGCTATGGGGGCTACGGCTCCTCCCTGGGCTATGGGGGTCTGTATGGCTATGGTGGCTCCCTGGGTTACAGGGGTCTGTATGGCTGTGGTAGACCCTATTTTGGTTCTGCCTATTGCAGCCCTTACTCCTACCGCTACAACAGGTACCGCCGTGGCAGCTGCGGGCCCTGCTAAATCCTACAGAAATATCCCCTGACTAAAGAATTACTGGCAAATGCTTGATACAATCTTGATCCTCAACTGAGCTCCGAAGTAAGGGGAAGAGCACCAAAGACTTCCACTTAATTCAGTGGACTCAGAACAGCTCCATAAGTTACTCTTCTCATTTCCTTCCTTTTCTTCATCTCCTCCTCTTTCACCCTGCCAGTGGCCAAATGTGCCACTCCACCATTGTCACAGAGGGCACTTGCTTCTCCCTGAAATGACCACTCTCCTGGGAGAAGCATGAAGGAACACCGCTCTTGAAGCCCACAGGGACAACCTGCATCTGCCTTCCATGTCTTTCTCCAGTGGGTGTCTTCCTATCTTTGCAATAAAACAAACCTGCATCCAACGTTTACCTCTCCGCCTTTTCATTCAAAGCCCTGCGTGAGCTGCAGGACTCCCTCACCCTAAACATGGACCCTGCCAGCTGAGGCAGGGCAGTGTCTCCATCCCAGCAGATCCAGGTTGAGCTGCCTCTGGGGAGCCCCTGCTACCCTGGCCATGCACAATCCTGCTGCACCGAAACCTATCTGCCCTGTCTTTCATTGCTACTGAGCTGAAGTTACCATCTCATGTCTCCCCTACGCTAATTACTCCAGCTCTTAGACTTCCAGGCATTAGTCCAATTTTTTTTCTTAGTTAATTTAGTGCTGGAATTCCTTTTGATTTCACACCTCCTCAGACAATGTACTAGCAATCATCAAACTGTGTTGGAAGACAAAGTAAAAAAAAAAATGTGGCCTGAAGATCTGTCAAAGCACACTCTGAAAAGGAACAATAGGAAGGTAAACAATGGGAGACAGTTTTTAAGATAGGTATCTGGTGAGCAAAGATCAAGCACTACCTCTTTTTTTTTTTTTTTTTTTGTTAATCACTGTTGTGATAACAGTTGCCTCAGGGAAGATTTGGCTGAGTCTGTAAGTCAGCTGGGTGAAGTAGAAAGAATATGAACTAATGTGCTACAGAGGATTTACCTCTTACTTCACTGAGACTTTCAAAGAAAAGCTCCAGGTATGAGTGTACAATTTCTTGAGCTCAACCTTCTAGCAGTGTCATGGACTAACAAGTCTGATTTTAGCAGGTAATTTCACTGCCTTCCCCCTGGAAATTGTAACTGGATATGCCAGATGGCTGTGTGCTATGAGTTGAATTGAAAGTTAGTTTTATGAATATTGCTTTCATTTTAAGAAAATACTATTTTATATTTACTGATTAACAAATACTTATTGAGAATATTTTGACCAAAAAAAGCCCTTCACTGAGAAGTTCTGCTCTCTCTGCCTGCTTCATCCTCCCTGTGCTACCACTGCCTGCCCCCATGGCCCTGGGCTGAGCCCAGCTGAGAGCCCAGCCCCTGCACCGTGGGCACCTGGGGTGTACGAAGAGCCCAGGCAGCTGGAGAAGAAAGGCTCCTGCCTTTTCAGCACAGGGAAATGGTGCTCCGTCCCTGCTGCTCTTCCCCATTCTCTAAGGGCTTGAGGCAAGAATGCTGCTGCCATGAACTCCTAGGAGCTCAGCAACCAACCTCCTGGTTTGTGCTGCACCAGTCCTGCATCTCCTTGGGTCAGGTACCTCTCTTGTGCTGAGCAAAGCCCTTTTTCCTCCCAACTGGTCCAGCCCAGGGCAGTTCCAGCTTTACAAAACACAGGTGCCTGGTTTCCTCTCTGTTTCTCTTCTGCTCAACACCAGGATCCTTGCACAGCTTCTAAGAGGTAATTCAGTGTAAATTGTACATGATCACAGCTGGACACCTGAGCTCCACTGAGCGCCAGCTTTTCCACTGATTCTCTTGATGAGGCAGTGCTAGGAAGGTACCAGCCAGCACCCAGTTAGGTGTGTACTATGTCAGACAGCAAGTGCCTAGCCCAAGATAACAAGATTGGTGAGAGCTATTAACACCTAGCTAACAGGATTACGTAGCTTCTAGTTGGGCTGGATGCCTGTTAGGGTGATCTCATGTCTGATTGCAAAATAGGACATAGAGATACTCTTTCTGTCAGTGTCAGGTGTTATAAGGGAATTACAGAAATAGAGGGAGTTTACAACATTGGTTACTCAAGGATCAGGCTTGGAAAACATCTAATTAATTTTTTTGCATTAATGGCATTAGCACATAACTTGGTAGCACTCTGTTTTACGTACTGATGGCATAAAGCTGAGTGGCATTAAACAGGAGGGAATCAGACTTCAAGACTGGAAAAACAAGATGGCTTAACTGATAGGAGTGACAGTAACGGTATGATCTTCAATAACAGAATGCAAAGCCATGCACCTGCTGACTACGGAGGAAAGATCAGGTGTAACATGCTATAACTAGAAAGAAGTGACAGAGGAGGAATTCTCTGAGTATCTCCAGAGAGGTGATGGTAAAGTATGGGAATATTGCATGCTCTGGAGTGAATACCAGAGAGTAGTGGTAATATAAGCAGAACTTGTAAAAGCAAGGGGAAGAGCACACCCAATTTCCCTTTTATTGCCAACGTGTCACTACTTCTCCACAAGACAGGGTGAGTCAAAAAATTATGAATGGCACTAATCTCAATTAATCTCACATGTATCACACTAAAGGCTAAAATAAGATTGCAGGATGGGTCATCTTAGAGTGAAACTAAGCAACTGATTACTACACTTCTGTAATTGAATCATTCCTCTCTCCAATGACAGAAAAGAAGATTTTCCATGAGCTGACAATTGAGTGTCCAGAGCTAGAGGAGGAAAAATGAGGAATTGCCTCTTCTCTCCTAGGTAAGGTAGGATGTACCAAATCCCCCAGACAAAGGTGGAGAGACCATCATTTGCCCTCCCACAGCTGCTGCAATCGCAAGCTGGGAAAGAAGAGACAAAGACAAGATTCAGATGCGGGAAAAGTTTATTGTGCCCAGAGGGGCAGGAGAGATTGTCAGAGAGATGGTGGGCAAGAACCAGAGAGGCTGGATGCCACATGTTGGGGAAGACCGAGGGATCTTCTCCAGAGCATCTCTTCTCGCACTGCCAGCTGCCCAGGCGTTGGCTGCACTCAGGATGCTCAGCACTCCTCGTTGCCCTGTGCCCACCAGCTCAGCCCAGCACAAGTGGTGGTGGCATTGGTGTTTGGGCTGGGGGCAGAGGCTGGGGCTGTGGGGCTGGATCTAGCAGGGCCCACAGTTGTCCCACAGCCTCCTGCTGTAGCGGGGCAAGACACAAGGGCTGCAGGCAGGAGCAGCGTAGGGTCTGCCAAAGGTGCAGAGACCCCCCGAGCCCTGGGTGGACCCAGCACCATAGAGGCCCCCCAGCCCCAGGTTGCCCCCAAAGGCAGGTGCTCCAGAGGAGCCCACCACGGCTTGCTGGGGGAAGGAGCTGAGGATGGGGCCAGGGAAGGTGACGACGACGGGTGGTGGCTGGATGAAGGCTGTGGAGTCTGGGCACTGGCGGGCGCACAGCTCGTTGCAGCTCTCAGCGATGGGCTGGGGGACAGCAACGCTGGTTTTTGGTGGGCACAGGTCGTAGCAAGACATCTTTGTGAGAGAGAGTTGAGCCTGAAAGACACAGTTCCAAGGACAGGTGTCATGAGTGAGGAGGAGAATGCCCGGCAAAGCAGTGCCCTGTTTGCAGAGCTGCCCAGAGCCAACAGCTTGACCACACTGCCCACTGCTTGTCCTTTGGCCACCCAGCCCCCTTTGGTTCCCTGCACCCCTGGACTTTCCCTCTCTGTCCCCATGCAGAGGGCACACCAGCCCTCCCCAAGAACCTGTGCAGAGCTCTGTGTGTCCCAGACACAGGGCTCCTTCATCTTCCGACGTGGCTCAGCCCGCCCTGGCTTTCCAAGCCTGCTGCCATCACTCCCACCTGGACAGGGAGGTCCCACGCCAGCCCCTGCCAGAGGAGCCAGAGACCCACAGGCACCCACCTACCCTTGTCCTGAGCAGAGCGAGGCAGGAGAGGTGGATGCTGGTCCTCAGCGAGGGCAGCGCTTTTATGCTGTGCTGATGAGCTTGGGGAGGAGCTGGCCACACTGGGGGCACGTGGCCCATCATGTCCAAGCCCCTGCCTCCTCCCTGCGTGGCACGGGGCTGTTTTGCTGATGCTGTTTCCTCTCCAGCCTCAACCCGCTCTATCAGCATCTGCAATTACCCCACTCAAACGCTTGCCAGCTGCCACCTCATGAGCCAAATGAGCCCCGCTGTCTTTTGATTATCGTGATGTGTAAGAGGGCACGCAGCGTGACAAAGACTGAGTGCACGTGCCCTGCGTGCCATAGCTGTTCCCCAAGGGCTTGGTCTGAGGGTGAGCCCATGCCTCCTTTGCAGATCTACAGGGAAGACCACGGTGCGGGTGCTGGGCCAGAAGGCGCCTTGCAAAGGCCTCCCGCATGCCAGAGACTGCATGACGTATGCTCTGTGGTTATTATACACAGAGGTGTGAGATTATGAAATGCCAAATCAAAGGCACTTGTCTCAGGCACTGCCTGCTCAGCACAATGCATCACTTCTCAGCCCAATGGAGTTGGTGTCCATCCCCATGCAAGCATTGGCCATTGACCTCTGGAAGTGTGGGGGAAAAAAACCCTCATGCTGTTGCCCGAGTTGCATGGTGGAAAGAGCACAGACCCCAGTTGGGCCCAAGTCACACAGGCTTGTCCAGACCTGCCCTAACCCCATTGGCCCCTCGTAGGAGTCCCAGGAAACCCATTGCTGTGGGATGGGGCTGGGCATGGGCTATACTTGATGTG